TATATATATATAAAATATGATGTCATTTGTGAACCAAAGCTAGATCAATTAATTGTATCGCATTTTTAAATTCTATGTTTCGTAAATTTTTTGTTGTTTTGCCCATGTTTATTGCGCATGACGTTTTTTGCATATTTTTGCAATCAATAGATGTAAGAGAGCTTAGTAAATACCTTAAAATATTCCAATGGGTATTATTTTTATATTAATAATTTGCTTAAATTTCCCTGTTTGCCTTAAACAAAAGCTTGAATTAAAAACTTGACCTTAAAAGCACCATTATGTTTATTTGTTAATATTTAACCACTAGTATTAAAATAATTCTCACAGAAAATATGCACGTGCTGTTTAATTATGCGACTGCTTAAACATTTTGCCAAAACTACTTTAAATGTCGAAAGGGAGGCGAATGTAACACTAACAATTACAGTACACACGTAAAAGTCGCAGCTCATTAAATAAGGTAACTCTGTACAATCATTAATTCTCTTTGCTGCTATAGTCTTAAGTTTATATTTAATTTAATCTTTTTAAGTTAAATGTTAAAACTGGTATTTACATGAAAGAGGGGTGTAATGCAATTAGTGCATTAACGAAGAGTAAAAAAGAGCTAAAATAGTGATTAAATTCTAAAACTTATATTCGTGTTCGCACTATTTGTTTACAAACATGTCGTAATATTTTCGTAAAATTACCGAAGAAGCGAAACGTTTTTAAAGTTAAACAACACAAGACATAAGAGTTTACTATTTTCTGGTGAGAAACTAGAAAATTTATTTATTCTAAGTATTAAAAATAATAAATTTCGTCAACACTCAAAAGATTCCTGTACTGTATTAAAAAAAAAAACTATAAAACATTGTTTTCTACAATTGGGTACATGCAACTCAAAGATAAGTGAAGTGTTATGCCTTACCATTTGATTTAAATCGGATTTAATTGGCTACTGGCCTGTGACGTCACTCGATCGTGTGGCACCTCATAGGCTTTTGAATCGATAAATACCGCGATTTACCTGCGATGACGTCACTAGCAGGTATCCAAATTTAACTGAAACTAAGGGTGTACTTTCATTTTATCGTCAAATGGAGTTCCGTCGTTTCTGCATATGGTGCTTATTTTCAAAACATTGCTTTAATAATTGTACAGTGAACAGCGCCATCTTTTGACAACGTTTGGTAACAAGTTTGAAATTTAGAGAGATATACAGACCATAGCTAAACAATAATTTTCCATCTCGTCCCGTTTTATTAAACATAGTCTTTCAAAGTCATTTTTATTTTTAAAAATGATTTTTAAAATTGTCCATCAATTTCAAGATACCCTGGAGTAATCCGTGAGTTATCTTTAGATAGCACATTTCTTAAAAATATTTTTAGTTTATAGGGCGAAAAAAACATATTTAGGATGAAGAAAGTCAAAGCACAGTGTTTGCAAATGGAAATTTAATTCACAATGAAAAACACAGATAATACAGTTAAGAAAAATACAATTAAGTAGGGTTTGAGTGTGAGTATATGTTAAGGAATATATAACTTCATCAACATATACTCACATGTGAACAATAATAGTAAGAAAAAGAAAAGGAAAAATTATTGTATCATGATGTGGGTAAAATATTGCTTAATTCTGTATTCGTAGATATATTAGTGGAAGCATTATTTGCCTTAATAGATTACTGCATCAAAAATGCAGTAAATGACTACTTCACAGTTACAGGAAAAAGCAATTTTTTTGGTAAGAAATGGGGTTTAAAAATAGAATGTGACTGAATCCAAGAAATTTTTGTTTAAATACTGTAGGCTGTTTTCCTAAAAAATTAATTTTTAAGACGGAAAATTTTCAAGTTTCTATGTAATTCCAGTTTAAAGAAATATTTGGAGACAACCTTGGCCTGAAACAGGTTGTCGAGTAGCAGATGAAGATATAGACTCATATGGGTATCATATGTTGACCAAAGGATATCTTATTTCGAAAATCTTTCAGAAAAGTGCTCAGTGTTGTTGTTCTGTATTTAAAATAAATAAACAAATGATGACATTAAATATGTATATTGTAATAAATAATAATTAAAATTATGTTCATAATATATATGTGTAAAAATTATGTATGATCTAAATATCCAAGGTTATTTTTCTCCACTAGTGATATTTTGCTTCTAAACATTTTCAAGTTTCTTTATATACTCATAGGTGTTTTATAAGTAGGTCAAGGGATATCTAAGTTAGAAAAATCTTTCATAAAAATGCTTATTTTATGCTTAGGGAAATATTGTTTTTCTGTTTTATAAAATAAATAGGTAAATAGTGTCAATAATATTGTATATATATATATATATATTTGTTTTTCTTAAAAATAATATTTTACTACTGAATAGTTTCAAGGCTTTTTTAAAAATTCATTGGCTATGAGCACATGTGTAGACAAGGAAATCTTCCTGACTCAGTTCTGAATGTTCAATTTCTAATTATGCAGTAATAAATGCTGCCGCCTTCTTTTAAATAAATAAATAAGTAATGAAATTCATTTTTATAAGTTTTGAGTAGATATATATAAGTAGATATTTTTATAAGTTCTTTGCGAAGTCATTTTTTTTCCTTATTTTTATACAATTATTGTAACAAATACTAAGGTTAAAGTTAAATTTAAAAAAAATACCCAAAATTTTATCTTTTAAGTAAACAAATCACTACTTTTTTTTCACAGAAAACTAAGTGATAACGATGTTAAGTATATTTAAGAGACATTAAGAGATTTGTAACACAAGCCTAAATTAATCGTGAATCATTTAGCTGTAATGTCTTTAGTAGCAAGAGAATGATAGAAACTGCTGACACAAGATTTCTGGAAAATCTTGATTTCTATTGGCTACAGATAATGAAGAAATCTCCTTTTATAGGCGAGTAATCTTCTGTCCAATGAGTATCAGTATTCCCAAAGTAACGATCGTTTCAGGAATAAGGCCTTAAACTGAAATCCCTAGAATACATCAAAAGTGGCACTTTAAGTGGTTGGCATACTTTTTGGGATCCAATAATCTAGTCCCTGATTGTAAAGGGAATCAAATTCCCTTAGACTCTTTAATTAATATCACTGATAATAGAGTCTTTTATGCCCCTTGATACTATAAAATGCTCTAGGCTTTATGTGATATTTAAAGGAGAGCTGAAATCGATGATAATTGAACTAGTCGTAGAGGTACGAATGATGATTTACAAATGTTTTTCAGAATTTTGGATTTGTTTACTTAACATTTTTATAGAAGCTATTTCGCCCAGGAAAAAAATGCTGCACTTTAAGTGCCTTTTATTCCAGGCAAAACAATAATTTCAAACTATATATACTATTATAACGTAAATAAATATATAGGTCTTTTGAACGGATAAATTACTAAAATATTTTAAAAGTGTTTAAACTTTTTTTTATAATCTCCAAATTGAGGAGATTTTTTCCGTTTATGAAAATCATTAGGACTGATATTCGAAGCTCTGTCACCAGGGAAAATAAAATGACATAGTTTAAGTAGTTATGCTTTTAGTGTCAAATTATTACGTACCGTTAAATTTAAGAGCCTATTACATTTTAAGAAACTAACACTTCGTACTATGTGGTGCATGCCAACATACTCCTAGAAGAGAAAAAGCTTTCTCACGGGTTATCATGAACAAAAAATACGATACTTTAATATTCCGAACGTTATTAAATACATCGTATTTCTCCTCACTTTGCAGTTTAGTAGTCCAGGCGTTGTGACATCTTTCGTATTTCCCCCATTGCGCAGTTAATGTTCGTTTCGTCGGACTACTAATTGACCGAAGTTTTCTTTCTTTTTAGAGGTGTTGAGTATATATGCCGAAGTATTAAGTTTCGTTCCTTACATCATGCGTTAAGGAGCTTTAAACACCTCTTATTATTTTATGTGCACTCTGTATTTTAGAAATGTTTGATAGCTTTTTTAAAAGAAAAATTGGAGTTAATTTTGTTAATGTTTCATTTTTTTCAACTTACAGTTAACGTTTAAATTCAAAATCAGTAAAAAAAACTCGTTAAAAATAAGTTTTAACATCATCGGGAGAAAATATCAAAAATGTGAGGAAAAATATTTCAGTCCAATTTCCTTCTTTGCAAATATCGTGTCCCTCTAATCAGTTGTTTTCCCTCACTATTTTATCCCTTTTCTAGATTTTGAGCCATCAAACTATTGAATAAATCATACGTTAAGATACAATCAAACAATCATTTCATCTTCCTGAATTACTACAAGGACATTAAAAGGAAGTAGATGATATTGCCTCTACGCTATTTTCCCTTACGCTTAAGCTCTCAGTTTTAAAAGATATTTATTATCTTCTCTTCCAAATGAGTGATATCAAACCAGGCTATTGGTCTTTCCGTGGTCTTGGAGAGCCCATAAGATGCTTATTACACTATAAAAATGTAATATTTGAAGACAAGAGGTACCATGATATGGGAACATGGGAACGGTACCTGGGAAGAAGAAAAATTTACCTTAGACTTGGATTTTTTAAATTTGCCGTACTACTTGGATGATAAAATCAAACTCAAGCAGAGTACAGCTATTTTGAGGTACTTGGCTCAAAAATATGATTTGAATGGAGAAACCGAGGAAGAGAAATTACGTATTTCGTTGATTGAACAGCAAATAAAGGATCTTGGCATTTTATTCTTTCAAAGCGCTGGACTTTCGGATTCTGATGAAGCAAAAAAGTACTCTTTGAAAGTGGCCCGAGATTCTCTAAGATTGTACTCAAAATTTCTTAGAGACAGAAATTTCTTTGGAGGAAGCAATATTTCTCATGTAGATTTTATGATCTACAATAAGTTTGATTTTCATGTGCTGTTTTCAAGGACGATTTTGGATGATTTTCCAAATTTGAAAACTTATATCAAAATATTCAGGAGTTTGCCTGAACTTCAGGAATATTTAAATTCGACATTCTATATAAGGCGGCCTATTGTTGGAATACCAGGGGTTTGTGCTTGTGGAAGTAGTGGTTATATGCCGTAAGTGATGTAGTAAAAATTTTATGTTGAACTAAGATAGCTGTTTGCGAAATATCTGAAATGCTCATTTATAGATTTATGTTGATTACTGTTACAATAAAATAGTATTAAAATATTTTACACTTAAAAATAGCGATGTTTAAATTTATTCTTTTCTTTAAAGTTAGAATCTTGTTTTCTGTTTTAACTGAAAATTTGACATAGCTAAGCATAATTTTTTTAATAGATTCTAATAAAAATTTGGAAGCTGATGTAAAACTTATTACATATTTTTTGTTATCAACAGTTATATAAATATATTTAAAAATATTTAGAGTACATAAGTAAATAAAAATATATGCAGGTTATTTGAAATCTTTTCTTTTTGCACTTAAAGATAAGTTAAATTTACAGAGATATATTTGAATATTTTATTTGCACTTAATAAGTTATATATAGAGGCATGCTGAAATATTTTCATTTTGTACCTAGAAATAATTAAAAATGTACCGAGATATACTAAAATACTTGCCATTTGTATGTATAAAAGTTATCATATATAGTAACTTATACCTAGGATTTCTTTTTGAAACAAGGAAAGTGCTAAGCGCTTTATGTTGCTAAAGCAAATTTACAGTTGGTAATAGGCAATAGTGTGATTTCTAGGAATTTACGGAGACTTAAAGGTTCTCTTAAGAGAGAAGAATAATACTTCTTTTTTATTCATTGTTAATTAAAGGGAATTATGCCAGCGCAATTTACTTAATTATTAGGAAACTAATTTAATATTTTTAAATATCTTTTGTTTCATTTTATTCATTAAAATGTGCATTAATAATTCTAGTAACCAAATTTTACATTTTAAATACGTAAGTACCAAATTTTCTATGGAAGTACCAATAATTCTAGTACCAAATTTTACATTCTCAAAACTTTTTCAAAGTTTGAAATTTTCTAAAATTTAAGTTTTAAATGTACTTAAGATTTAAAATTGATTAATTTGGTTTAATAGAAATACACTTTAATGTATAAAATTAAATAAATATATTAATTAGTTACTGGGTTATTTCTCCTTAGGAAAGATATTCTGTTTTCTCCACGTTCACATAATGGAAATCGTATTCCTAGAGATGTAATTTAAAAAGTTGTATCAATAGCTCCAAGATATAAGAAAAACTTTAAAAGAAATACTGAACTGTTTTTTTTAAAAATAATACTTTTTTTTGCTTACTTAAAAAAGAGTATGACTCTTAAGAAACTTTTTTTTTGAAATTTATTATTCAGAAGATAAATAGAAGACATATTTCAAAATGCTGAGTTAGTTATCAAAGTTTTTCTCAGTAGCATCTATACATACAAGCTTGTTTTAAATATTAAAAAAAAAATGACACTATTTTTTTTGCTTTGCTTCAATCGAAATTTGAACAAAAAAAAGTTTCGATTTAGTCGTCAGTGCAATTTAAGCAATTTTGTCGCTCTTTTTTTTTCATTAATGAAAGAAGGTTTCATTTTTATAGTGATACAAACTTTTTATTTTTCTACTCGAATTTAATTTATTGTACTTTTTCCCCTTTTTTGAACTTAAATAGTTAGGAAAATATCCGAAAGGAATAAAATTAACAAGAAAAAAGTTTCGATTTTCAGTATGTTCTGATGAATACAATGCAAATTTGCATCGATTTTACATCTAAGATCTTTGCTAAGTTTCAAAGGTTTGTTATAGGTTAACTTATAATTAAACATTTGTAATGAAACTAATTGAATTTCAATGTGTTAAAATTATAATATTTCTTTAATCAAATCATCTCCGAGTGATACGGTATTTTAAGGAACAAATTGGTTTAAAAGCAAAAAGTTTTAGAAAACATATGCAACTGATTTAGTGTAGTAGTTATAGCAAAAGAAAGTTTTCTTGAACAATTAATAACTTGGGATAATTTTTATGAGAAACCTTGTTTTGCCATTGTAAACAATAGCTGAAGGCTAATATTTCTCACGTATACACGAAAACACTAATAACTTTTGAGCTATTCATTCTATTGACTCGTAAATTCATTCCATTCAGAAAAATACACAGGAAACAATGTCTCGTTTGTTTTGATAGATATTTTCGATGAGTAGATAGGTACAAGCAAACATTTGTTCTTTTCGTAAACAAATGCCTTATTTTATAAACGAAAAAACCCTTATTTTGTACAGCAACTTCTAAACTATTCATCCGATTTTCTCGTGATTGAACTCATTCTATTCAGTGCAACAAAAAAAAAAAAAAAAAAAAAAAAAAAAAAAAAAAAAAAAAAAAAAAAAAAANAAAAAAAAAAAAAAAAAAAAAAAAAAAGAAAAAAGAAATATCCGAAACAATGCTACTTAAAATTCTTTATTAAAACTCACCCCTATTTTCCTCTAAAAAGGAGAGTTTTGAAGAGAGTTTGGGAGTTTTCAGGTATCATTTATGAGAGCGTAACAAAGCTTTCCATCAAAAATTATTTTGGGTATAGTTTTTTCAAAATAAGAAAAAAATCTAACTTTACTCGACTAATAAGTTAAATTTATAATTAAAACTTTAGCATAAAATATATTTACTAATGTAACAATAAAATAAACTTCCTTATTTAGCTACAAATTCTTGGAAAACAGGCTCTGGAAGTAAATTAAGCATTAGTAACACATGAGATCCTCAATTTTCAATATATTGGACAACTTTTCTCAAAATTTTATCACTTATTGATAATATTTGAAGTTTTTTCCTATTTTATGCTTGCAATCTACGGAAATGTGTAATTGAGATGGTATGCGCTAAGAGTTGTTCAATAAATACAATTTCTATATACTCATAAGACCAATATGTTGAACAACATTTGTTGAAATTTTACCACTTATAAATAATGCTTGAAGATTTTTTTTCTACTTGTATGCAATCTACAGTACTGTGTCGTTGAGGTAGTATGGCTTGGTTTGAGCAGTTATATGAATTTTGTTTGATGATAATAATGGTGGTAACGGGTGGAAAAAAGGAATTTATTTATAATGCACGACGGTCATTTTTCCCGAAAACTTGCTTAATTCCCCACGTTCTTCTTGCTAATTCCACTGGTTAGTTTGAAGTAAAACCTTTCTCAATTAAGCACTTCCATACTATTGTACTATAAGGCAAATAATCATCTCAATTCCTCTCTCTAAATAATTTTCCTCCCCCTATATATTTCCTCTTTTCTTCGCCGTTTCGGCTAATCTTACTTTTTCCTCCGGTAGCTCGTTACATCAAGCAGTTGAAATATAATGGCATGGGGAAGAGCAAGATTTTCCCAAAACATGGAAATAGTGGGACAAGATGTGGAAAATAGAGAAATAGTATACCCTTGACATATCTATTCTATTTACGAAGAGTTGTAAGGACAATGGTGACTTTAGTGTCGTTCTACGATTTCATGTGGTGAGTACGTTTACTATGGTTTAGACCAGGGTTTGAACCCTTCCTGATCAGAATGGATTTTCTCCAATCACGCCTTTAGTTAGGAATATACCCTAATCTAATGTTCGTAGCGCCTAAGAATATTNTGTCTTCGGATCATCCTCAGGGATGTTTCCCAGACCGTCGCCAATAGCCCATTGTGCAGCTCTAGTGCGACGTAAATGAACAAATCAATCAATCAATCAAACCATAATTCCCCCCTCTATGTATTTCCTCTTTTCTTTGCCGTTTCGGCTAATCTTACTTTTTCCTCCGATAGCTCATTTCATCAAGCAGTTGGAATATAATGGCACGAGGAAGAGCAAGATTTTCCCAAAACATGGAAATTGAGGGACAAGATGTGGAACATAGAGAAATCGTATACCCTTGACATATCTATTCTATTTACAAAGAGTTGTAAGGACAATGGTGACTTTAGTGTCGTTCTACGATTTCATGTGGTGAGTACGTTTACTATGGTTTAGACCAGGGTTTGGACCCTTCCTGATCAGAATGGATTTTCTCCAATCACGCCTTTAGTTAGGAATATACCCTAATCTAATGTTCGTAGCGCCTAAGAACATTAGATTAGAGTGGATTGCAAAAAAAGGCAGGAACTATTACACAGTTTGGGTGTGTGATGAGAAGATAGGACTGTTTGATATTTCCATTTCAACCATTTGCTCTCAGATCTATTGTTGCGGGCTAACTGGTCAGTATTGTTTTCTGATTATCACTAAGGATGAACTCCAAATCGTCGCAAATAGCCGATTACTTTAGATCAATTACGTAATAAACTCTAATATGATAAGCTTTTTTTTGAATCGTCAGTCATTTGTCTTATTAAAAGCACAGAGGATCTGAATGAAACACACAGTTCAAAATTTATTTATTTATTGGTACATACATGCAGGCCTGTGTGCTCAATTACATAAGTGCGGTTTAAAAGCCTTTGTCTAGTAGAAAGACGAAGAGTACAATTCAGAAAAACCCAGCACGAAGATACATTCAGAGTTACAGTGGGAATAGAATCCCCTGCCTCCATAGAACAGAATCTTTGGTGGGTGAAACCGCTTGTCCTGGGAGACATCTCTAATTATAAAAGAATTATCTATTAAGAAATTACGTAAATGAATAAATAAATAAGAAAACAGAGCCCTGAACTGTTGTTTCCCCAAAATCACGTAAAGAACTTGGAGTTTACAGACGAATAACACACAAATATTTAACTTTTATTTATTTATTCATTATTACATGTAGTTGGTAGCATTTACGCCACACTAGAGCTGCACAATGGGCTATTAGCGACTGTCATAAAAACGTCCCAAGGGATGATCCGAAGACATGCCATCACATTTTTGATCTTCTGCAGAGGGGATGGTATCCATACTTCGGTAGCCTGACGACCTGTGCGCGAAGTCGAACTCTTTTAACGAGTTTAACGAGGTTTAACGAGTTTAACGTCGTCAGTTTAACGAGGACCAATACCGCACATCTTCGGACCCTTTGCAGACTGATCCAAGTGGTTACCCACCCGAGCACTGACCGCATCCAGTGATGCTTGACTTCTTTGATCTACTGGGAACCGTGTCTTAACGATGAGTTCACTGCGGGACCTTATTACACATAGATATGTAGGCTTGTGTTCTCACATCAAAATACTGTTTTTAAGCCCTTGTCAAGTTGAAAAACGGTTGCACAAATTAGAGAGGGATATCACCAAGATACAACCAGGGTTACGGCTGGATTTGCACGCACTACCATCACGATACAGAGAGTTCGGCGGATGGCGAGAACACTCGGCTAGTGAGGATCTACAAATGCTTCCCTGAAATGGTGCTTACATCAAATATTGATTTGGTTAAATGTCGCACCAGAAATATAAGATTCATCCTTAATGCGGATCCGAAGACATTACTGGTGCATGCGTACAATATATAACCACAATTTAGATCCGAGTACGAAGGGTGGTAGCAGTGACACACATTCTCCGTACTACTCCCAATCATGCGTGACCTTTCTCGGCTCTTAAACTGATAAATATATTAACATTTTTTGCTTACTGTTGGTACAACTGATGATCCAAAATAGCAGGTGCTATCAGGTGTCGTAGGCAAAAGGATAAAGTCAATTTTGAACCGTCAATCTGTAAACCGGATCTAACCTATGTAATGTAACCTAATGTAAACCTATCAGACATACAGTTTATAGCACAGGAAATCGGACCTCAGTCATAACCGTAGTACATGAAACTTTAACACTGATGATGCACTGATTGGACGATCGAGTACAGTTATAAATTATATTTCAAGTTTAGCAAGGGGGTGGATTTTGATTTGTGACAGAAAGTTGTGGGTTCGTTCTCCCGATTACCTAAGGAGCCTTAAGAATCTGTAAGCTAATACCGTGTAAGCACTTTATTGAAGTACGACAGTTAACTGGCAACACGAGATGAGCTCTCAGTTACGTTGATTTCAGTTAAGTAGAATGCTCATTTCTTGATTGCTAAATAATATTTTTATTAATCTTAAAGTGACTAAACCTAAGATTGTCGACCGACTATTATTGCAGACGCCCTACTTCAGTGACTTCAGTACTGTTTTGCTTGTAAGTACTGAGTTTCAGAGTTTCATCAGTGGCTTCGGGACATGAACCTGTGACCTTCTCTGTCTTAGCCTGATGATTTAGCCTCTCGGTCACCTCAATTTGAAAATGACGATTGATTTTGTTGTTAAAGCACTGAATAGTAGGTAGGTACTATATTTACGTCTCACTAGAGCTGCACAATTTGCTAGTGGTGACGGTCTGGGAAGCATCCCTGAGGAAGATCCGAAGAAATGCCATCGCAATTTTGATCTTCTGCAGAGGGGATGGCTCCTCTAATTATGTAACCTAACGACCTGCGCGTGAAGTCGAGCTCTTTACGGTAGAACAGTTTAAGGAGGACCGATACCGCCCACCCACGGTCCATACGCAGGCTGATCAAAGTGGTTACCCACCCACAAACTGACTGCAACCAATGATGCTTGACTTCGGGTACTACTGGGAACCGTGTCTTTACGATCAATCAACTGCGGGACAACGCACTGAATGACCACAACAAATTGTATACACAGCAATGATCACAACCGTCGACCGACCTGTGTAGGGGTCAGGGAACTGGCCTTGCATCAGAAAGGTTCTGGGTTCGAATCCCGGGGGCAAGGCATGGATGTTCTTTCACTCTCTGTATTATCTGTCCTTACTGTGGAAGCAGCGTTGGCCCACCTAATATGGTGCTCCTGAAGGAGTGGTCAACAAATCTGCCCTTCAGATGCCTGTATGACCTAGGGCATTCTCCCGGAGGGCAATGGAAAAAAATGACCACAACATGATGGAATGTTGTTGTTGTTCATTTACGTCGCACTAGAGCAGCACAATGGGCTATTGGCGACGGTCTGGGAAACATCCTTGAGGATGATCCGAAGACATTCCATCACAATTTCGATCCTCTGCGGAGGGGATGGCTCCCCCGCTTCGGTAGCCCGACGACCAGCGCGCGAAGTCGAGCACTTTACGGTAGAACAGTTTAACGAGGACCAATACCGCACACCCTCGGTCGTCCCTACGCAGGCTGATCCAAGCGGTCACCCACCCGCACACTGCCCGCAGCCAGTGATGCTTGACTTCGGTGATCTGCTGGGAACCGTGTCTTAACGATCAGTCCACTGCGGGACCCTGATGGAATGTGAATCGTAGTTCTATTAAGTGGGAGTTACGATAATTGTGAATGATTAGTAAAATTCGTTGATTACTAAAAAAATATTATATGTTTAATACTGTGAAAAAAGTAATTGTATTCATGATGAAGTGCATATGTGAAAACAGTTATTAAGAGAACAACATTTGATGTTTTTATGAACTATGAAAATAATAATTCTCTCATCTGAGATTTTTATACAAAAGGGTAAGCTTCTTTTTAGTTTTAGTTTTATCGATTTCATTATTTTTTGATTTTCTTGTAGTGTAAGCCCTTGTTGAAATTTATGTTACATGGTTGCTTTACAAATTAGTTCCATTACTTGAAAGATTAAAAAAATTCAGTACACATATAAACAAACAATTATGATTCAAATTCATTAAAAATATTTTACGACCAATCTTTGAAGAAAATAGTTTTATTATCATACAGGATCAATGCATCATTACAAATCATGTTGGACTTTAAAATCTGAAAAAAAAAACTTCAATTCAAAAGTGAAACGCAACGGAACTGATTTTGTGTGTAATTATATGCCTAGCTTAATTTTTTATCTCTTAAAAATTATTCTGGGAGTGTTTAAGTGTTTTTTATAGTTTACTTCTTTTTATTAAGTTTATACAACAAGGAATAACTTTAAAGAATATGCCTTTTTCAAATATATTTTCGAATAAATTTAGATTTCATGAGCCTAAGGTGCACTAGTGATCCTTTTCTGCTTTCTTTTTCTTCTGCATACAAAACGGTAACTATAGACGGTTTTAATATATAAGACATTTAAATATCATTTTCAAGAAATTTTCATCAGCAGAATATGAGTAGAAAATATGTTACGGTCATAAAATCTAGTTCATTTTTTCAATCGAAATAGAAATTTTAATTTTTTACTTTATTCCCTTTTAATTTTCATAAACTAAACTTTGTAAGATCGCAAATGTATTATTTTTTTGAGTTTAATTTGCGAATGTAATAGCGAAAAAAATTTTTTTTAATGAAAAAGAGATATCAGCAAATAAATTTCAAATCTAAGTAACTTTCTATTAAATATATATTATATATATATTTAGTATATTTGAATACTTCTGATGAAAGAACAAATATAGCTTTATTTTTTTTCCAATAAAACTCCTTACAATTTTGAAAATGTTAAACTTTTTTTAAATTCGAAGCTACAGATGCTATTTTTTTCCGGATCCTGTAACAGGGATATATATAAATCTGGTGCAGGTGTGAGTGCTAAAAAGTATAGGATATGGCGAGAGAAAACGGATTTGTTTTTGCAAAAATCGAGCATTGCTAGCATAGTTCTTATACGTATTGCTGAAAAAGCAGAAAAAAGCTTCTCACGATTGCTCAGAATAAAATAAGAGAAAAGCAATATGGTTTAGAGTCTCGTAAGGGAATACTGAGAGAAACTTCTAGCGCTTAAATTCATATTTTTTGTGTCAATTTACTTTGCGTCAAAAAAATGTTGTGCAAGCATAATGATAAAGAAATATACATTAGTCATATTTTCGTTACCTGTTTAATTTGTATTTTGTATTTTATATATATATATATCCTATTTCAATAATATGTTTTAAGCTGAAATATAATCCAAATTTAATTATTAGAATTATTTCGCTCTTTATTTGCTTTAGAGTGAGAAAACTCGAAATGATTTCTAGATTTTTCTCTCTCTAGATATAAATTTTTCATTTTTCTTAGTGGATTTTTTACCTTTAAGTCTTTAAAACCAGCAATGCAAAAGTGTAATGCAGTATTATTTTATTAAGTTTTTCATTATAATAATTTGTTTCCAAGACTTTCAGGTATATCAAATTAAAATAGTACAAATACGAGGTGATGCCTTTTAACCTTCAATGAAATATTAAAATAATAAAAACAAGTTTAAATAATCGAAGAATAATGAGTACCAATAAAAAAAATCAGCTTCACGAGATAAAATAACTTTCTTATGAAAAGCAGTTTTGCGAAAATAATGAATATTTTACTTAATTATGTTTAATCTGATGAAAAATTGATAAAATAATATAAGAGATAGTAAACGTAATTATAAGCTCGTTAATATGATAATTAAATCATCTTCAACGCCCTTAAGCTACTAAGTTCAACAGAAAAGTCATAATGCTGAATAATGAATTAGACATCCTGTTTTAATTTTTTCTTAAGAAGTAAATAGTAGGAACAGAAACAAATAAAAGCAAATGCATAATTTTTCTTATTTAAATACTTTTAACACTGATAACAATTTAAAGGTATATTTTGAATGTAAAAGCTGCTTTTCTTAAAAATATATTTTAATATTTTTTTTTCATATTTCTGCAACAATTAGAGTTGGTAGCTTACGTTTACTAATAACGCATATATAAAGAGAATTAGATTTTATATATCTTAACCCAGCTCTTTTTAGGCGATCTGTTCACCCTTTAGGAAATCATTATCACGCTGCCTATCATTGATTTTGGTATTCATGCTCTTCGTTTTTGGGGCTCTCTTAAAATTCTCCACTAAATATATCTCCTATAATGGATTAAAAATGATAATTATAATTCTAATTTGCAATATAACTATTTTAATATTTTGGCAGCCTTTATGCAGCTAGTTTGTTCACCTTTACGAGTTTATAATTTCGTGGTTCGACATTAACTATGCAACATTCATTTTTGCACTTTCATTTAGCACTAATATTTAACTCCAAACCAGTATATTAATTTTGACTCTGTTTCAACAAAGATTCTAAAAACATACACTAAAAAAGGCAAATGCTCTTAAGGAGTCTTAACCTAAAAAAATTAATCTGAGTTTTTAGGTCGGGCAAACTTAAAAAACTGTCTGCAGATGAAATTTTTTTCAAAATTTACTATAGAGCCGTGGTGGCTCAGTATATAGAGCATTCGCCTTCGAATGAGGTGAACCGGGTTCGAATCCCAGCAATGGCTGGTCGATACGAATTCCGCACCCGGCTCACCCCGACCACAGTGCTGACGTAAAATATTTTCGGACGGATTATGGTAGACGGATCATGGGTTAGAGTCCCCTTACCATCAGGCTAACCGTGGGTCGTTTTCATGGTTTATCTCTCCATGTAACGCAAATGCGGGTTAGTTCCATCAAAAGCCCTCCATGAAGGCAAAATTTCCCCCAATACTTGATCCAGGAGTTCCTTTGACTTCCGGATTGGGTTCAAAATTACAAGGTTATGGAGTTGAATATTAGTAGTCGTAAACACAAAAATTGGTTCGAATGTTTAGCGTCGGTTTTAAAATAAAATAAAATTTACAGTATCAGATTTATAACTTGCGTCAGGCTTATAAATCACAATCATTGTTAAATTTAGTCATTTTGAACAAAATTTATTGATTATAAATTTTGGATATTTGGATTTTTATTTACTTGATAGTTTAGTTTCAATTATGATATAATTAGTCTGAAATATAAATTGATTTATAAACTGAAACATTAATTCTCATTAAAATTTAAGATTACTTTAGAATTTTTTTCAACGATCTAGGTTTTTATTTAATTAACTAACTTCTCACTTCTAACTTAAACGAACCTGACTTTAAATTACATCTAGTAAAATCAAGTTTGTATTTTGCTGTGATTGAAGTGCAAATATCTGATTGTTGTGATTTAAATCAGAATATAAATCAGCTTACTTCGATTCTGAAAGATTATTGGATGTAAAGACATTTGAATATTTTTTATAAACTAAAAAAACGATTTTTTAGGTAGGTAGGCAGATACTTTATTTACGTCGAAATAGAGTTGCGCAATGGGCTATTGGCGACCGTCTGGGAAACACACCTGAGATAATCCGAAGACATGCAACCGCAATTTTGATTCTGTTCAGAGGGGATGGCTCCCTTGCTCTGGTTTACCGACAACCTGCTCCGGAAATCAATCACTTTATGGTAGAACAGTTTAACGGGCACCGATACCGAACACTCTGGATCCCAACGCAGGCTGATCAAAGTTGCCACCCATCCGCTTACTGACCGCAGCCAGTGATGCTTTAATGTTAACTCTAGAGCCGCGATGGTTCAGGGGATAGAGCGTTCGCCTTTCAATGCGGCGAACCGGGTTCGAATCCCAGTCGATACGAATTCCACATCCGGTTTGCACCGCCCACATTGCTGAGGTGAAATATCCTCAGTGGTAGATGGATCATGGGTTAGTCCCCTTGCTGTCATTCCTCTCGTATTATCAGATAGAATACTTTATCCGCCTTAAAAATATGCAAAAATCAAATGGCAGTCGATATGATTAAAGTGCATCAAAAACAGGCTCTCATTTTTCAAGACTTGACAGACTTGGATGCAACGAAAAAAAGTGATTTGTAAAAATTTAAAGTTTCCGCCGAAAAAGGAAAAAATAAGGGGAAGGAACAAAACTAGAAAAGCCTTAAAAACCAAGCTAGAGAAAAGAGGAAAAACAGATTTAAAAAAAGAAAATCACAGTGGCCAAAAGGCAAATCAGGGTAAAATGCATCTCCATGCGTAAGGAAGGTGGTGAGGAACTAATGTCGTGACGGATTCAAATGAATAAAACAAGATTACAGAGTGTCAAGATGAGGTGAGGTGGCGGGGGTGCACGTAGCTGTTAAATTTAGGTCGAGCATTAAAAACGCGTATTTTTTTCTATGTGTTTTCTTAAACACGTGCTTTGAACTGTGTTCATTTTCTGAAGCATGAATTTTGTGACATTCCAGTGAATAAAACGTTGTCTATTTTTTTCAACATGCATTACCTTTGTCCGTTTGCCATGACCAATTGTTATGACCAAGATAGGTCCAGAATAAAAAATTCAACTGCGATTTGTAAGTAATTAAACTTGACCTTCTTATTTATTTCAGATATAACTGCATATCAAAGTTAGAGAGATGATAATAGGACACTTTTTATTTCAAAACTAATAAAAATTTTTTAGTAGCTCAGAAGCATTTTTTAAATTAAATTTAACATAACATATTACATGAAATGCTTATTTTAAGCGCTATCATATAATTAAGATGGACTTTCATAGTCTTCTTTGTATTCCCGTGATGCAAACTTTTTGAAAACCTAACAGAAAACGTTATATACTTATGACCTGGGACCAAATCCCAGCGATGACTGGTTGACACGAATTCTGCATCCGACTCGCACCGGCCTCAATGCTGACGTAAAGTATTCTCAGTAGTAGACGGATCATGGATTAGAGTC